ATTACAAATGTATATCAATGCTGATACATCAACAGCAGGTTTTTTTGTTATTCAATTTGAAGATGGTTTAACAAACAATCCAATTGAAGGATATACATTTGATGAATGAAAAACATTACATCAAAATGGAATTCGACAATTATTCAAATGGTATTCGATTTCATATACATTTGGCACATACAAAATTATATTCTTTTATTTCATCATAAGTTTAATCGAAATATATGTAAATAAAAATGCTATCTCTACTATGAATATCTATTGATCAAGGAGAGCGTAAAACAATAAGATTCACATTCACATCTTCAAGTGTCATAATTTCTATGAACAAAATTTGATACATTGTATAATAACAGAACCAGATAAAGAATTCGATAGTTTTAGCAATATCCTTATTACAAATGAACAAGATCATAAATTCTATTCATCATTTATTTATATTCACATTTCAAATCAACATCTTTTAAAAACATGCATAAAATAGATAATCATCTTTGATTCTATTCTCTTTCTTATGTTCATAACTTAAGATTTTTTCTCTATAGATCAATAAAATCTTGAGGGTGTGGGTGTGTGCGTGTATCGGTGTCTGTAATAGTACACCCAAATCCACACCGTCAAAATATTTTAGATATTGAAATCAATAATACTATAAGATAAGAATGGAAATTAATGATTCTACCAATATGAATCTACTTGAATCTGAAGATTTAGGTTTGTCACTGAAAAGAACTATTCTTTTATTCTTCTTTATATTTAAATTAGGCAAAATCGACATAAATGAGATAGTACGAAAACCAACTGTTCAGCGATCTGCAAAAGGTTCATTCTTCATTCGATAATGCTCTTCTGCAATATTTTTCTTTTTCTTAGGACCTGTCTGTATTGATGAATGTTCACCTGATGGTAAATATAGCCAACTAGCAAATACTTCTGCAATTAAAGACGTGGATTCAACTGGTTGGCGTCTTTTACGAAGTGTCAACAATGCTCCAGAGATTTCATTCGCCATGCCAAGTAACTTTAAATTGGATAATAGAAAAAGTGTTAAAATCTACGCTTGTGATCTTGTTTCATCTAATATTAGTACATGGGATGTTGGTCATACTATCATTACTCATCTTTTTAATGATAATAATGAAGAAAAAGCACTTCACATTTAAATGATTGCTAAATAGATGAATTTATTCTGTTCTCACTATTAATATATATGTTAACTGAATAATAGTAATTTCTATGATTAGTTTTAATTTGTTCTATGTTTTTGAATTTAAATCAACCACACATATCTGTTTAGTATAATTAATAGCATTATATTCAAAGGAAATCTATTCTAAATAAATACTATGAATTTGTAATTGAAAACACTGTGATCAAAAAAAAAGGTAATGTTGATTAATTGATAATCTCTTCAGTATGGAGAGTGTGGGTACTATCCTTTTTACTCTCACTCACATTCTCATCCACATCCACCCACACCCTCTCTACTGATGCCGTAATAATAGAAAAACAAAAGAATTATAACATAAAAATTCTTGATGATGTATAAAATTATTTAAGTGAATTTACAAAACAAGTCCAACAAGTACGGGAGTGCAGGTGAAGATAACTGGAAATATACCTGTATGTGAGTAGATGGTTTCATTAGTAGAACAGATACACAATATATTGCTTGTCATATCAAGAAAATATTTATACAAAGTAATAATGTAAAAACGTTTTATTAGATCAATTATGCTTTTCAACTACTACTTCTACTACCCCTATATTATTACATATTTTGTTCTAAGTCTACAACAAACGCAAATGATTGTATAGCTCCATCGTGCTTTGGATGACGGTCAATAAAAACGCTTGTACCTACCGGTATAAGTCGCATATTAGAACTCGATAGAAATTCATATAAAGCTTTCAATTCATGTTTTTCATAACCTGGATAATTAAATAATTCATGAAATAATAAAATTGTACCCGATACAAAACGACTTCCAAGAAGAAATAAAATATCTCTTGTACCATCATAAATATCACAATCAATATGAACAAACGATACTGGAGTATGACATTGATATTGACGATCGAATAGAAGAAGTTGATTAGGTAAAGTATCAATAAAAAGACCTTTTACTAATATAGTATTGTATGGCACTGAAATGTTTGTTCCATTAGGTATAGTAAATGCTCCACGACCATATCCACCTCTCCAGTCAGTTGGTAATCCAGTAAATGTATCGAAACCATAAACAGGCTGACTATTATTACCACAAAACATACGTTTCCAATCTGCAATAAGCTTTAAACTACTACCACGATATACACCAAATTCCATCCATAGACCATCACAAGATGGTTTTATCATGTCTTTAAATGGCGGATTACGAAAGATGATGTCAAGAGTAAGAGCATTTTCAATTAAGCGACGAGATATTATTGCTGCACGAGAATTGTCTATGAATTCAGTAAAATTTGTAAAATTTTTTGATATATATGTTTTTATCATAGAATCATTTTTACTAATATATGGACTTACAGTTGATTCCCTTTTACTGACTAACTGTCTTAAATAATTACGTTCGTATTTGGTACCATCAGGTAGATAACACATATGTTTAGTTAATAAAGTTGTTGGTATAGTATAATTGATTGTAATACTTGTTGGTGGTTCTATTAGATATAATATTCCAATATTAATAATCAGTAGAATGAAGAAGGATAATAAAAAGGTTTTGTTTATTATACTTTGAACCATTTAAATAATATTTTCATAAAAGTATGCCTGTATGTTGATAAATTTTGGATTCAGATTAATTAATTTGAACTTTACAAGATTTCTAAAAGAAAGAATAGTTAAACAGTTTTTTGTTTAAAAAAATACATATTGGCACTCTTAGAATATCCTTTCTTATTCTCTATAAAATTATTTTCCAATTTCCAATTTATTTCTCGCACCAATATTGTGTATAGATAAAATTCTCATATTAGAGATTTTATATTTTACTTTCTGCGTTGTTGTTGTTTTTTACAAGAACGTTTTGAATGCATTTTTATGATCACTTTTTATTTTTCTAATCGAAATATATTTTTTTTTAATGGTTGAGAGTAATTATTTTTCTAATCGAAAAATATCTGTTTTTATGGTTGCGTATAATTATTTTTATAATCGAAAGATATTTTTTTTAATGGTTGAGAGTGATTATTTTTCTAATCGAAAAATATTTTTTTTTCATAAACAGTGATTAGCTTCATGCATAATTTCTTCTTCTGTATATGCAAAATAATTCCTGACGTTCTCATATATTTCAGTGAGAGATACGCAACAATGATGAAATCTTCGAAATAATGTATATTTTTCGTCATCAAAGATACATAAAGGAAAAAACTAAGAAATATTATTAGTAATTTATTTCCCGGATCGATATGATTTGTAGATAAAATTCTCATGTTAGAAAATTTAAGTTTCTGTTTTTGTGTTGTTATTATTTTGTAAAAACATTTAATTGAATACAGTTCGTTGATCGATCGTTATCTTTCTAATCTAGGCACATTCTTTTTTATGATTGACAGTAATTACCTTTGTGCATAATTTCTCTCTTCATACGCAAAATGATGGATGAAGCTAGGTAATAATAAGGATGCATCGCTTGATCAAATATTTCAGTAACTGATAAGCATTGATGATGAAATCTTCACAGTAACGTATTACTTTTTCGTGATCTTACAGGCATAAAAAAAAAGAAGAAAATTTCAAGAAAGACTGATGTGAGTGCAAATTGCTTACTGCAGTTTCTCGCTGATACGTAGCCAGTAGAAGCAGTTGTGAATCGTGTTTTTGTTCGCCCTTGATTTCGTATGGTGATGTGCTAATGCGTCGATCAATACAAAAATTAGTGAAGTTTTGAATCTAAAATTATTGTTTGGTTGTAATGCTTAATATATAGAAATAAAATTAATATATTTGTAAAATGGTGCTGAATAAGTTGCTTTTTTTCGGAACAATAAACAAGCAAATGTAAACTATAAGAGTAAGACATGTTCATGAATAAATCTTTATTGCAATGAAATGTTTGTATCAATTTCAAAGATGATTTATATAATAATTAGTAAACTGTAGGTCTGATCATGTAATGGTCTTAAACTGATACCAATACGTATAATAATCATAACAGATCACGGCTAAAATTCCATATAATCTCATAAGACTTCGCAGGAGTTTCGAAAAAAATTATCTTGAGAGTGTGGGTGTGGATGTATATACTTCATCTTTTTATCGAACTACACCCACACCCATCCACCCTCTTGATTAGAATTTCAAAATGGTAAAATCGAAAAAGATCTCGATCATACATTAATTTATCCTGAATATCCATGAGAAAATACAATTCATTTCTATACAAGTTTTTTACAAGCTCCAGCTGATTTATCTCTTACAAAAAAAA